CATGAATGTGCGTGGGCAGTGTGGACAGTGGAGGCGAATGCGGCGGGTGCAGGTTAGTGCTCCAGTCGCTGGTTTGTCAGTCGCTGTGCAATGGATTCGCAAGTGACCGAACAGGCCGATGTGTTAGATGAAAGTGTGATCACAATGAACCCGGTCCTCGTCACTGGTGCTGACGATAGTTGTGTTAATGTTTTAACGCCCCACGAATTGTATAGAGTTGTTTGAATAAAGATGCAAGTGATAAACCCATTAGTTGGGCACAGTGAGTAGGCTATCCAGGAAACGAAGATAGCAGTATCCCAACATTTACAAACTAATAAATAAGAACGAAGTCGTCAGCAGGTAAAAATGCACGTGCTTGTTCTATGTCTTATTCAAAGTCGTGTCAAGTTCTTTAAAATGTGTATTGTAACTCAGTGAAAGAAAACGGACCTAAATGTTGCCACAAATGAACGCTGTTTTGGCATGCGGACTAGGATAGAGATGGCGTAATTGCGTGTCGGTGAAAGCGGCCAGTGCACTACCCCCGCTCTACCCCCGCTCTACCGCCGATCCCCTCCCCTCAACTTTTCGTAACGTTCGCATCGCACGTCCTCTATCTCTCTCTCAACGCCGACAGCTCCCTAGGCCCTCACCTGCCATTGCCCACAACGCTGCATTCCCATCAGTTATGTAAATGGAATTTCGTTGTCGCCTCTCCATCCAGAGAGGTTAATCCCTGCGGTAACTCATCCCACTTGTACAAACTATCGCGAGGGCTAGGGAGAGAACCGTCAATCCCAGACTAAGGAAATCAGGATAAGACAAGAGTTATGAAGGAATTAACAATCGGAAGTCAAACGACCTGACAATCCAACGCATGCCAAGCGCGTCGGGTTGTGTTATGATCCCTCCATTCAGTTAAACAACCAGCAAGTTCAAGAATGAGGAACAGGTAGGTAAAGGCATGATAGTCTGTCGCCTCGACACAGTACCCCCTCCGAGACCGGAGGGCGGCGAAAACGATGCCGAAAGATATGTACAAGTCTGAAAGAAATGAGTGACCAACCGATCAGGAAAGTGTACGTGACGACCACTGCGAGTGATATATACAGGGTCCGTAGAAGAGTGAATAAATCTGGTGGCGGAAGTGTTGAAGTTGGTGGTGGCAGTCGGAGGTAGCGGACAGAAGGGCAGAGGGGAAATACGTGACTGTGGAATAGAGGCCGCAGGTGGGTAAGCAGAAGGTAGAGGACCACAGAGCTCATCCGGAGGAGTGTCAGGGACGGCAGCCGTGAGGCGGCACACACTCACGTCCTCTTCACGATTGTCGCGTTGAATGCGGAAAGTGTTCGTCCCGCGAGAGAGCACTCGAAATGGGCCGTCATAGGACGGTTTCTGAGGCCGGCGGACTCGATCACATCGAAGGTAGACGTGAGAGCACGTTGCCAAGTCCTTCTCGAGATAAGACGGAAAGTCGGAGGACCTTGGCGGAACAGGAGAAAGTGTCCGCATAAACTGCCGGAGGCGATGCAGGAGGTTGGTGGGATCCTCAACTGCACCTCGCGGGGTTGGCGAGATCATCTGCCCGGGGAGTCGGACAGTGGCGCCGAACACCAGTTCAGCTGCGGAACAGTCAAGGTCCGGTTTGAGAGCGGAACGGATGCCCAAGAGGACCAGAGGAAAGTGGTCCGTCCAGTTCACCGGATCGGCCGCGGCGTGTAGGAAGGCCTTCAACTAGCGGTGGAATGGCTCGACCATCCCGTTGGCAGCCGGGTGATAGGCTGTCGTCCGGATGCGTTATAGTCTAAAAAGGAGAGGAAAGACTGGAAGAGGTTAGACTCAAACTGTGCACCACGGTCAGTCGTGATTGTGGAGGGTGCACCAAAGATAGCAACCCAAGGACTGAGAAGAGCCTTGACCACCGTTGGGGCAACAATGTCAGGCAGGGGAATTGTTTCAGACCACTGAGTGAACCGATGCACACAGGTGAGGAGATAGGAACAACCATTGGACAGAGGCATGGGGCCTACAATGTCCAGGTGAACGTGGCTGAACCTTGCACCAGGGCCGGGGAAGGTGCCAGTGGGGGCCTTGTTGTGCCGCTGGATCTTACCCCGTTGTCAGGCGATACAAGCCCGTGTCCATGCTTTGAGGTCCTTGTGCATCCCAGGCCAGACGAAGCGTTCAGAAACCAGCTTGTCGATTGCTCGACTCCCAGGGTGAGAGAGATTGTGCAGGGAGGGGACAACTTTGCGGCAAAGGGATGGTGGCATAAATGGACGATGGGAAGGGATGGATACGTCGCATAAAATGATGCCGTTGCCAGTTGTCAGTGGAACTTCCTGAAGTTGGAATCCGGAGACATCCTCATCGCAGGATGAACCGACATGGCGTTGTTCACCGGCCATCTCAGTGAGGTCGATCCCAGGTGAAAGCTGAAGGTGAGCGATAGTGGGCCTGGAGAGTGCGTCAGCCACCTCATTTCGTGACCCGTCAATATGGCGGATGTCTGAAGTGAACTGCAAAATGTAGTCCAGGTGGCGGATCTCCCGGGGGTTTAGTTTGTCAGAGTGGGAATGCATAGCAAAGGCGAGTGGCTTAAGATCTGTGAAAATTGTGAACTCTCGACATTCGAGTAAATGCCGGAAGTACCTTACGGCAAGATAAGCGGTGAGAAGTTCACGTCCGAATGTGCTGTAGCGGGCTTCGGCCTTGGATAGTTTCCTGGAGAAGAAAGCCAAGGGCGCGGTAGAATTTGGCAGACTTTGTTGAAGAACCGCGCCGAGAGCAACATTGGAGGCATCGACCATCAGAGATATGGGTGCATCAGCCTGAAAGTGATTCAGGAGAATGGCATCAGCCAAAAAATAATTAACAATAAAATGTCATGCCACCTGATAATCCAAAAGATGCCTAGCGCGTCGGGATGTGTCGTGTTCCTTCCATTCAGTTAAACAACACGTAAGTTCAAGAATGATGAACAAGTGGGAAAAAAGGAAGATATTCTGGCGACAAGGCAGCATCTGCTGGACTATGTCCTCGTCCGAAGGCGAGATCAGCGGGACGCGCTGGTGACAAAGGCGATCGTGGGCGCTGACGGGTGGACCGACCATCGCCTCGTCATTTCGAAGATGCGTATTCGCCTAGAGCCTCGGAGGAGACCACAAGGCAAGCGACCCCCAGGTAAGCTGAATATTGCCTTGGTGTCTTTGCTTGCTCACTATCTTCATTTCAGCAGTGAACTAGCTCAACGGCTAGACAACCTTCCAATCGCAGCCACCGCCGACGCCGCCGTCGCTAACGAGAACTCCTCCGTGTAGAACCGATGGTGTCACCTGCGGGACACAGTCCAGTCGACGGCGCTATCCGCCCTCGACCGCGCGCGCTGCCAACACCAGGACTGGCTATAGGACAACGTCGCGGTCATCAACAAAATGCTCGTCGAGAAGAACCGCCTACACAAAGCCTACGTGGACTGTCCCACTGACGAAAACAAAACTGCGCGATCCAAGCTGTCTACGGTCCGCCGACGAAAGGCACTGCTCCTCTCCTCAGCGCCGATGGCAATACCCTCCTGACCGAGAAGTCACAAATTCTACAGAGGTGGGCGGCGCATTTCCGAGGCGTCCTCAACCGCCCCTCCGCCATCTCCGACACCACCATCGCCCGTTTACCGCAAGTGGAGACCAACGTGGACTTCGACCTCCAGGAAACCATCAGGGCCGTGCAGCAGCTCTCCAGCGGGAAGGCACCCGGATCGGATGTGATCCCTGCTGAGATCTACAAGCACGGTGGTCCCCAACTAATGGATCACCTGACTGTGCTCTTCCATGAGATGTGACGTCAAGGTAAAGTCCCGCGTGATTTCAAACACGCAACAATCGTGCATTCATACAAGCGAAAAGGGAATCACCAAGTCTGCGACACTCACCGCGGCATCTCCCTGCTGAACATCGCCAGGGAAGATCTTCGCTCGCATCTCTTTCAATCGCCTGAATAATCACCTAGAACAGGGCCTTCTACGGCAAAGCCAATGCGGCTTCCGCCTTCATCACGGGACTACGTTTATGAACTTCGCTGCTCGTCAACTACAGGAGAAGTGCCAGGAGATAAGGATCCACCTGTACTTCGCCTTCGTGGACCTGAAAAAAGCCTTCGACACGGTGAATCGTGAAGGACTGTGGAAGATCATGCGGAAATTCGGCTGTCCGGAGCGATTCACTCAGATGGTGCGTCAGCTCCAAGACGGCATGATGGCCCGAGTTACTGACAACGGAACAGTCTCAGAGGCATTCGCAGTGACCAACGGAGTGAAGCAGGGCTGTGTGATGGCACCTACTCTCTTCAGTCTTATGTTCTCTGCCATGCTGATGGACGCCTACCGCGACGAACGCGCCGGGATCCGCATCGCCTACAGGACGGACGGTCACCTCGTGAATCAACGACGGATGAACTTCCAGTCACGTGTATCCACAACCACCGTTCACGAACTTCTCTTCGCCGACGATTGGGCCCTCAACAACACCTCGGAAGAGGGTGTGCGACGGAGGATGGACCTCTTCTCCGCCGCCTGCGAGAACTTCAGTCTGATCATCAACACGCAGGACGGTGGTCATGCATCAACCGCCACCCAAAACAGCCCTCCCCCGAACGTGCTACCGCAAATCCGCGTGAACAGAACCCAACTGCAAGTGGTGGAGAACTTCCCGTACCTGGACAGTACCCTCTCCAGCAGCACCAAAATCGACGACGAAATCGTCAGCAGGATATCCAAAGTCAGCCAAGCCTTCAATCGACTCCAAAGCTCAGTTTGGAATCGTCAAGGTCTACAACTCTGCACGAAGCTGAAGATGCACAAGGCCGGCATCCTGCCGATGCTGTTGTACGGAGCGGAGACTTGGACAGTGTACACAAAGCAGGCACGCCGACCGAACCACTTCCATCTCAGTTGTCTTCGTCGCATCCTGAGGCTGAACTGGCAGAATCGAATTCCCGACAATGAGGTACTGGAACGGACGGGAATCCTCAGCACCTACACCATGCTGAGACAAATGCATCTGCGTTGGAGCGGCCACCTGGTGCGCATGGACGACGAGCGACTACCCAAACGATTCTTCTACGGAGAGGTCGCGACGGCTTCTCGTCGCCAAGGGGGCTAACTTCGCCGATACAAGGATACTCTGAAGTCGTTCCTGATGCGTCTACAAATTAACCCGACAAACTGGAAAGACCTCGACCACGACCGACAGACCCGGAGAAGGACAGTGAAGACAGGCGCTGCGATCTATGAAGCCAACCGCTTCGCCGCCGCCAAAGTGAAAAGCGAAGCACGCAAATCACAGGTGTGCTCACTCCGCAACGCCGACGCACAACCGCTTCCAACGTGTCCTCGGTGTCAACGCACATTCCGGGCACGAAAGGGGCTTATTGGACACCTTCGGATTAATTGCGCCTCTAGGACCGCACCAACCGTCGTCCCTACGCTTGCATATTCTTCGTCCTCTCCGCCGCCAACTAAATCTGATTGTCCCTGCGAACCACCACTTCTTCTTCTTCTTCCTCCTCTTCTACGGCCTCCTTCTCTGCCTCCTCCTCATGCTCCACTGCCCCAAAGACGGCCGTTCTGGCGTCTGTCACGCACACCAGCACCACACACATCCCGCCATCCTCCGCCTATAGAGGTGAGGAACAAGACTGCACCTGCCCTCACTGAGACCGCACCTCCACCTCACACATCGGCCGGGTCGGTCACTTGCGAATCCATCGCACAGAGGCCGACGAACCAGTGCCTGGAGTACCAACCTACACCCACCGCACTCGCCTCCACAGCCGACACTGCCCTCGCACCTTTACGCATCGCATGGGTCTCTTCAGCCACATGCGCATCCACGACCACCTGCGGTAGACAACCGCCGGCCGCACACACCATCACACCCTCCCTCACTGCCTCAGCGCCACCAACACCACCCAACCACACATCAACTCTCACTCACCGTAAGCACTCAAATGCACCTCCCAGGCAAGTGGAAAGTGTGCACCTCGACTCGGTCTCCATGCGGCTTTGGCTGCACGGGTGACTTGCGTCTGAGACTATCTCGACACATCCAGCGTCGCGGATAGGAAGGCTGCTGATTGACGCCCTCACTCGGTGCACGCAGTCCGTCCCGTTGTGTGTGTTGTGTGGAGTGGCGGCCTGTAAGACGGGCTGAGACAGCACCTCCAACGGCCCCCCCCACGCAAGTGAGAGATCCGTCGTTCAAACCCCTTTGAGCGAAATCCTGGTGTGTGTGTATGTGTCTGGGGAGGGGCAGATCGTGCATGTGGCGTACGCAGACATGACCAGTCGACCATGCCAGCCACCGCGCCCATTTCCCACTCCAGTCTGCTGACCGGCTCGGACAGTGGCTGGGGTGTGGGAGTGGGAAGGGAGGGTGAGGTCGACGGTTCAGCGCACTTTCCTCACTATAAACAATCTGACGCGCTTGAAGCTATCACGATGCGCTAAAAGCCGTGGCTTGGAAGGTTGCCAACTGACAGGATAACTTGGACTTCCAGGACTGGAGGTCTGAGAGTCAGGCTGCAATGGCTCCTTCTTAATGTGGCCTTTATGGCACTCTCACTCTGTGGGACCCCAGCCGGGCGTTGACGGCACGCCTAGGTGCGGCCTCGGCCGTGACAGCCTCTGATATCTGTTGTGTTTGTGAAAATGCTGATCATTTGTTGTGTGGACCAGAGGGTGTGGTGGAGCCCCAAGATGAGGATCCGTCTGAGCCATCCCCATGCGGCCGCCCTTGTCTCCGGTTTTCCTGACTCTGTCTTGACACCGGGCTCGGGCGAGGGAGGAGGAGAGAGTGTAGGTAGATGCAGCGCAAGTCTACCCGCACTATAAACCCCTGCGCAAGTCACCGTCCCTGCTCCTACCACTGCTGATGTGGGGCATACGATGGACATTGTCGAACACGACGGTCGAGCTATCGTGTGTGCGCTACTCTAAGTAGCAATAAAGCAGTTTCGAATTTCTGACGGTCTTATGGCACAAACTACGCACAAAATTGCGTCCTCTTTCAAAATTAAGCACACAACTTAGTTCCTTTCCACTAGGTATTTCAGACAGTCTGTAGTTTCACTGTTTCTGTGAAACTGCCTCTTTTAAACCTGCTGTTAACCACTGAATTTGATCGGTTTTCCTAGCCTTCATAAGAAATTTTAGCTCTTTATTAGATGCAACAATCCTTTTTCGAACAGCTTTCAGTTCTTGATGACTCTTCTAGAGAAAAGTGCATTTTATACACGACACCTCGTCTCTCATAAGACGCAAGTCTTCTCAAGATGTAGTGGACCTCGTGTACTTTGTTGTAAATCCCCCAGATAATTGATAGTGGTATCATTGAAGTACCAAATAACAACTGCGACGAACAGAAAGTAATTAATGGGAGCACACATTGTGGAGAACATCCTGCGTCACCGGGCATGTCGAATATTCCAGCAACTACAAGCAGAGACAAACCGAACTCGACAATAGTTTGCTTTAAAAAGCAACACAGAATCCAAAATCACCCTACAGCTGCGTCTAGTTAAATACAAGAAGCAGGTATGAGATCCCCTACTGAAGACTAACGAGGACGTTGAAATCTCTGAAAACAGAAATGAGCCTAAATACTATCCGCAGTTTTTCCAAACTGTCCACAAAAACTAGATACAGTTCCTTCCTATTTCTGCAGAGAACCTGTCAACTCGGAGCATAAGTATTATCCCATTAACAGAAGACTTTATCCGGACACAGGTAGAGGCGTTAAACTAGTCTAAGTCTCCAGAACTAGACGAGGTTCCTCCAAAGCTTCTAATAGAACTTGTCAGTGAGCTTTCAATACCTCTGTCGATGCTCTTACAAACGTCATTTGACACTGGAACTCTTCCTGCCGATTGGAGGCCGACACATATAACTCCCCAGTACAAAGGCAGTGGCCGGGCGTCGACGACCTCATAAGGAGGCATAAGCTTGGCATGCATTGTCAGAAAAGGTATGGAGAGGATCATGTCAAGTAACTTGATGCAACTCCTAGAAGTCCACAACCCGCTATCGAGCTGCCAACATAGATTCCGGAAAGGAAGATCCTTCACGACAAATTTGCCGTGGACCGGAGCACTCCACCGCAGTCCTGCGGTAAACATCGTTTTCATTGACCTTCAAAAGTTCTTTAGCAATGTTCAATATCAGAGACTCTTGCATAAACTGGAAAGAGCAGGGCTAATTTCCTCAAATGGATTGAACAAATTCTAGGTGTGTTGGCGGGTTGTTTGAATCAGTCAAGTGGAAGCCCGTCCTTCTACATTCAGGAGTATGATTTCCAGGTTTCCGTACTGGGGCTCATTGCGTCCCTGCGATACGTGGGAGGTTAGCAAGAGATTTGGATTACAAAGCAGCAACGGCTGCTGACGACATGAAAGTCTAATGCAATCCCAGACCTTGTCGACGGCGATAGACAACACATCAAACTAAAGAGGTTGGAGGATTAGTCAGAGCGTTGGATCACGCAGTTCAACGCCAGTAAGTGTACCAGCGCACCTCATCTAGGCGAACCAGTCAGATCCGCCAGCACAAGAAACTCCTCGATAGTGCAAGTTTGTGAGGCTTGGCAGTCCCGAAGGACCCCTGTGCGTCAATGCCAAATTCCTTAAAACAGTCCGCTGACTGCTGGAGAGTAGCAAACAGTACGACGTCCGTGTTGCACGCCATCAAGCAAGCATATATAGGTTTCGATGAAAAACTCCTCTGAAAGAATTTTAGAACATTCGTGATGCCGAATTTGGAATACGCCATGCAAGCCTGGAGACTGTAGGCGGTTCAAGATTGAAACAACCTCCAGAGTGCCGACCGTCCCCATTGCAAACGAACTTACTCATCAAACATCAGCTTGACGGACCACTTGCGACTCAATTCTATTGACACCGATGGATTGCTGGCGATAGCCCCAACACACCATTCGCACCCGTCGCACCTGCCTACATTGTCCGAGGACATTCAGTCATTGGATAAACCTACTCGGCCATATGAACCTCCGTGAAAACCTGCAGTGCCCACTACAGCATCACCCATCGCCCTACCAGCTCGCACATACTCAGACCACATACACACCGATTCCACACCACCAGCCACATGCGCGGATGCACCTCTCACGGAAGTGGACAGCATGCTCTGATGTATCCTAGTGCCCGATCTGGTGACACGTAGACGAACTGTCTTGGCTGTCAGCCATTGCACCACCAGATGGCCGACAGTCGACTGGTGCATGGGAGAAAATAGAAGTAAGGTCGACACTGGAGAATCTATCTCTACATCACGCCAGTGCATTCCTCACCAAAATAAACCCCACGCATTTGAATCTATCATCATGTACTAAAAGTCAGGGCTTAGAAGATTTCCAACTGACGTGAGAAATCCCTCCTATAG